TTCATTGAATTTTACTTGGATGCAAACAAACTACATAGTCAGTAACACCTGGTATCAAAAAAACAGCGAAAAAACAGTTACCTTCAAAATGCGGACACTGACGCATTCCAAGCCCCGTATACCAATGCAAGACTTGCTCAAATGGATCACGTGCTTGTAAACAAGCCTTAAAAGATATGATTCGGAATATTAACACCACCCACCATACGAGCCTGGAATCGGATCACGAGCTCATCATCATTCAGGCAATAGTCAATTTTATAAGGAAGAAGGTTAAGCTAACACAGCCACCAAAATAGCGAACGCCCAACTCCAGAACTACAATCAAAAGACGCGAGAAGTATACCAACAGGGTGACGATTTTGCCACAACAATGTGCCTTGACAATGGCTTGCTTAACGTATGCAAGAAGCGGCAAAAGTTCCATTTTCGACGATCCGCGCCGAACAGAACCAAAACTACATATCTACAAAAACTTGGGGTCTTGTTGAACGAGCACAGGCGGCCAAGGTAGCCGAAGAATTTGAATTAGCAGATAACCTCAGCAAAGAAATCAAAAGCAACAGTAAGAGAAGACAGGCTGGAACCAACCAAGGCCCAATCGGAAGAGTTAGAAGATCATAAACACAGGTGGGCAAAGCCGAGATTAGAATTCGCAAGGCTTAAGGATAGCAATGGTACTAGAATTCCAAGAACAGAATAGCCACAAAAAGCAGTGATATTTGGCGGAACAGCAGTGGAAATGCCAGAGAGATATACTACCACCCACAAAGAACAATCTTAAGACTTTCCAACAAGAACACACTGAAGTAAACGATGGTCCTTTCGCGATGGAGGAGCTCAACAAAACTATTGCCAAGCACAAATAACAATAAAACCGCTGGGTCGGATCAACTAGAAGCAGAACTAGTCAAGTTTTTGGATCGAGACTACAGGGATGTTTTGCTGAACGGGATCAACAAGGTACTTGCATCAGGTATTTTTGAGACAAACATGCATGCAACAACGGTAGTTTCCATCTACAAGAAGGGAGACTCCAGTCTCTTGGCAAACTACCGGCCAAGCTTTTTATTGCAAACATTCTACGAAATCATTGCCGCTCTAATAAAAGCTTGGCTTACTGAAGGATTGGATGAATGGATAAACTCAATATGGCTCCAGAAAATCCCAAAGCACAAATCATGCATTTTTCGCGCGTGCACTGCAAGATCTTGCTGAAACAAGTGGGAACATCATCGCCATTATTATGTTAGATTGGGACATACCATTCGATAACATAGACCACGGCACGGGACAGGTCGCACGGCTGTCGGATGCTCGCGTCGCTCGCAAGACCTATTATTGCGAAAGTGTGCTAATGCCAAACTTGCCGCCTGGTTCCTGCACGCTCTTGCATTCCCAGGCCGGACCATATGCAGGCGCTTGGCTTGCAGCGGTCCCGTCTGAGCCGGCAACTACTTTTGCTTTCATTGTGCCGGCAGTCCCGAAAGTCCGTGCCTCAAAACTGTCCGCAATGCAGCTTGTATTGTGCCGACGCTTTTGCGGCAGCCCCCTCCCCTACGAGGAAACACGTGCGGCCGCGGCCATGGGTTTGTAGTGGCAGTTGACCGATTCGGCGACCACGCGCCCGTGTGCCCGCGCACCGGATTGCTCGTCAAGGCAAGGGGTCTTGGTTAAAGTTCGCCACCCAACACCCAAGCATCACACGGACGCATTTTGTTGCGCACCCAGACATTGTCCATAAGGGCAGAAACCTCATCCCCGGTACAAGTGGAGTCTAGGTGTTAAGAACGAAAATGCTCCCTACCCAAACAGCACTGCCCTGGCAGCTGTCCGTAGCCCAGGGTTTTGTTGAAGCTTTACGACCAAGGTGGCCACACCTCCATGCTGTCCATTGCCGTGCCCAGGCGGAGCGCCAGGGTTACAGGAACAAAACTAGGCAAAGTAACCAAGGATTGCTCTCTTGAGCTTAGCCTTGGCCTTAGTTCGGTCACTTCTGACTGCCGCAGCAAAACTTTGCGCCCGTATGCACGCACTCCAGCTGCAGAGATGCCCACCTTCTCATGTCCTGTCACATTTGTTTCCTGGCTTCACAAAAGGAATCCTGCCCTCGTCGCGAATGAGAAAATTTGAAGGTGCTTTTGTGGCAGGGCTTGAGGTACTTCCCGGATTACTCCAAACAGTTGCTTGCTCCTCAATATGATGAGAACCTTTCCAACGAAATTCCTGGATTTTTTTTGAACCAGCTACCACCTCTTATCGTAAACCTTTTCAGCCGCCGCCTATCTAAGGCGCGCAGCCTGTTTGCCCGCTTCTTTACATAAATCAGGGGATTTGGCGAAGCCATGGAACCGTTTCGAGTGCATATTTCTGAGCACCTCCCTGGAGAAAGGGAGGTAAAAAGCAGGATGCCGAAGTCACCACACATTCCAAACGCCCGGTGTTGGATTTTTCGTTGTTCGGGCTTGAGACAGACAAGGCGGTTTAGGGCTTAAGGATTCCAAAGCTCTAAAGCCTGAACCTGAAGATAACCATGATTAATCTAAACTCCTGTAAGGGGGTCATATAGGGGATTATATAGGGGACTGCTACAGGGGTCATTCAGGGGATGCTAGGAGTCAAGACTGTAGCTCACAACGTGGATCCTACTGATCGCATGTTTGTCCAGTTGGTGGTGGCTGTCTCTCTCAAGGGAGGCACCGGGTGCTTTGCGGTGAACGGGCCAAAGGCCTCGGCCTTCTTTCGACGAAACGGGCCTCGGTAGCCAGCTGTTCCCCGTGTTGTGTGCGGCGCTTCTTAGTTAGGTGGCCGGTAGCTTCAACCAGACCCGTATCTTCTCCAAGCTTGGGGCCTAACCGTGGTCCGACCAGGTTGCACCAAGCTAAGCACTTGGCTACACTGTCCCTGGCCAATGTTTTGAAGCCCTCACCCGCATAGGAGTTCCAGACCTGAAATTTACAGAATATTTACCCACGTCCAAAGTTCAAAGACACTGAAGGGGAATCCGGTTTGATGGTATGAACTGCTGGAAAAAGACACGGGTGTCCACCATGCTTATTCATCCGTGTCGGTTCTTTTTCGAGATAAAATACAAATGGAGTAAACACCGCTAAGCAGAGAGAACCCATTCCACCCATTTTCTCAGAAGTTCTCTGCGCGGATGATACACTAATATTTGGAAATCAGGCTGCTTCCATCAACGCGTCTGACCACAATAGAAACGTAATCCTGGTCTTGCAACATGGGGCTTGATTGTGCCAGATGCGTCAACACAATCACCAACAGACACACTTCAACAATCGATTTCCGAGCTGGATCAAACGTGCCAAGGAAAAAACGTGTCACCTGCTTAGGCTCATTGTTGACGGACGCAGTAGATGACACAACAGAAGTGAAGAACCGAACTGCAATGGCAATCACGACTGCTCGACAACTCAAGATTTTCTGGGACAAAGCCATCACAACGACAGCTTGGAAACTACAAGTATTCAACACCATCGTGCAGTCAAGAGTGGCTTTTGGTTTGGAATCCGTCCATTTGATGCCATTCGAGAAGTATATGAAGCAGCAGTAAACCGAAGCGAATCCTTCTGAATGCCACAATGGAGTCACCGACAAGTTCGCAGTGGCAGCATGACAACAGCCCTTGAGCGTACCATGTAAATACACAGTATAGTACCTCAGTTCTCCCTGGGTTTCACATGTTCTGCGCACCTTGATTGGCGCTTTGTGAGTGAGAAGCCATAAACTTCAAAGCGCTCCCGTAGCCCGGCCCCGAGCATCTTAGGTAGCTTCGATGGGCGATAGACCTGCCTGGGGTGAGGCCAGACAGGGCTGTCAGAAGTGCACGTGAAAGCTCTGCGCTGATTCTATACATTTGCTTGTAAGAGGTAAACATTCTGGTGAGGGATTGGAAGTACGTAAGTTTGTGTTGCGTGCAGCACACAGCTGCGCGCCAAATTTTGCAGGATTGATTCGTGGCATGCTCTCAGACTGAAAGTTGGAACCCCCAGCAAAGCGGGCCCTTCCAGCCTCCAGCAAAACTCTTAAACTCTTCGCTTCAGGCTCAGATCATCCAGATCTCTTACCCCTTCCAGAGCCCAGCTTGCTAGGTGACAATTTCGGAAATTCTTCTGAATGCTGGACGTCTGAGTGTACCCTCGTCCTAATGTAGCCGACACCATTCATGCTGGACTGGCATTGTCAAAGAGCCATGTGCACAGCCTTTCCTGGGTGAACCTTTGGTCAAACCAACGGAGCATTTCAGCAACCACCAGGATGACCCCGACGATGCGCCTCGCGAGGAGGCGCCACTTCCCGCGGAGGCCGACGTTGACTTTCCCAGTAGCAAGAGATTTTAGAACCAAGTGTCTTGAGATCCTTAGCCGGCTTGGCAAAAGCAACCGCTTCTGCGGGGCACCACATGCTTTTGCTTGATCCAGCTTGCTTCCGCTTCTCTGCGATGTCCTTGGGTCAACAGGAAGAGAGTCCTGAACTGCAACAGTAGTGCAAAATTGCAATGTACATTTTTCGGCATAGATTTCGGGTCTGGGTTTGGGAAACTGCAAGCAGGGCACAACTCTATGAGGACCACGGCCAACGTGGATCATTCTCAAAAATCTGCAGCACAAGAACTAAAGCTGGATAAAGAAATGCTGGTGTGTTGACAGGGTAAGCTCCTGAGGGCCGGAGGGCTAAGTTTCCACTCAGCATCCTGCATGATCCCGCGAGTCGTATCAAAGTGCAGGTTGTTTCCAGGCGGAAGCGGAAGGTGCTTGGTTGCAAAGTGTCCGGGAAAACAGAGCATGCCAAACGGGCCTTTGTGCAAGTTCATGGTGTGCTGTTGGCTGCCTGTGCGGTTCTTCTTTGTTGTATGGGTTTGTCAAGCCAGACGAAGCACATGGAAACCACACCAGACGTTCCAACGTGATTACCTACTTTGTCCCATGAATAAGGTGACCAAAGAAGAGGAAGTGAAGGAGCAGGAAGAGTACGTCACAATGTCGTGCCGCAGCTGCGTATTGAGATTGCCGAGCATGGCAAGCCGACGTACACATGCCTAAGGTGGGAGGAGATCTTCCCCAAGAAGCCGATGGATCGGCTTCGCTGGCTCTTCAAAGCCTGCAAGGCGAAAGTGCCAAGATGATTGGTGAGAAATGTAGCCTCGAACGACCCGTTTACTTTCGAAAGCCGTGTGATTTCAGTTATGGCAGGAATGGCCTCCAATTTGTACCTCTGCGCAATTCTACTGTTGTATGCAAGGGCCCATGGCTCCACACAAAGTTCACTACCGCAGCAGCTCTTTCCTCATGAGCCTGTCGCACTGGGTCTCGTAGGATTTTCTGAGCCACTGTGCAGGCTCCTTCAGACCATGTTTGCAATAGACGTCCCTCAGGGCTGGGGCTTTGTTGTTCAAACTTAGGGCGCATGGTTGCCTCGATTTGGGAAGGTCGTCTGTTGCCTCGCAGGCGGCGAAAGAAGGAAGAATCAAGCCCAACCCGCTGCAGCTTGGAGAGCGGGAACAGCAGGAACAGGTAACAAGAACGGTTCTAGCCATGGCGGGGAGTTGCAGCCTTGGTGCTTTCATTTCCAAGGTACAACATCGTAGCTCACAGAAGGTTTCTGGAAGGCCTCAAGGCGGGCGTGTTTTTAGTGTTTTGTGCCACAGGAGTTTGAGTTAGGTTTGGAGCGGCAAGTGACGTTGAAATGTCAAAGCGCCATGAAGGCGTCCACTTTCAGCGAGCGAAGAGTTGGGGTCCTTCGTGTGCAGACACGGACTGTGTTTTGAAGGTTGTTGAAGACGCCTCTATTCTTTTTTTGCTGGGCTTCAGCTGTTGCATGCAGGGCAGCATTGCCACTGACTGCCTGAATCTGATCCGGGGCCACATCCACCTCTTCAGCCCCAAGCAGCAGAAACAGCCACCCAGCTGCACAGCAGAAAGACGTGCAAGAGGACTGAAGGCTCTACTATGCTTCAGACTGCGCCTAGTCTTGGCAAGACTACAAGCCTGACCGGTAGCAAGTAGCTCTGCGGCACGTTTAAATCAACATTGAAAACAGACCGGCGCTCTGGCAGGCTTCAGAGTGACAACTTCGAGCTGTTCCGAAAATATGCCCCCATCAGTGCGGGGTGCTCAGAGAGCTGCGTCAAGCACCTCTCAATAAGGCCTACCAGGGCCTACCAGTTCCTCACAACCAACGACCGGTCAGCGTCGCTATCATGTTGCCTCCAAATCACGAGAAGAAAAGGGATTCCGTCGTGCAGCCCATGAGAGAGGACAACACCAATAATCGGCAAGCGCTTCACATGCGCAGGGTCATTCCTGCATAACCCAGATTTTGCCAGGAGCGAACGTAAGCCGAGACGTGCCTGACCCAGGTCCTTGATTCCGACGATGACGAGGATGCTGCGCCTCCCTTGCCTCCGCCTCCAGAAGTTCACGTGGAGATGAAGGATGGTGTTTTCTTCTGCCTCCCTGTCAGATCCCTCAATCCGCGTCTCTGCTGGGAGGACAAAAAGAGGAAGAAGGGCGAAGCAGCACGCAAACAAGTAGAAGAGGAGGAGGAGTTTGGCTTCAGTGATGATGACACTGAGATCAAGAAGGCGAGGTGACCATCAATCGCCGGGGGCAGCATGTGGAAACCCGAGAAGCTTTGACGTTCATCAGCATTGACTACAGCCCACGCTCTGTGGTGAAACTTGAAGTGATCCCCAAAAGCCACCGAAAAAATGCCAGTATGACAGCCCACAAACAAAACATGCTAGTACGACAGCCTGGAAGCCAACGCCCAAGGCGGCCAGAGACAAGGTTCTTAGTTGCCGTGTTTTGGGAATCATTTGTTTTTCTGTCTTTGTGCAGAGGTAAAGCGACAGGACCGCTGAGACAGTCGTTCATGCTGCTCCTACTAAGGTCCAACTATTTGCGTTTCGGAGGTAGGGACCGCAATCTAGATACGTTCGAAATTCCTTGCTGTCCTTGCTTCTGTGGCCATGATGACACTCGTTATTGCTTAACATCCGTGAGGTGTGTAGCCCAAGCCCTCGTTTTTCGTGCTGATAGTGCGATGCTGGTGAAAAAGGACTTCTTCAACTACAGCAACTTGCAGCATTTATTTATTCCGGAGCAGGAGAGGAGCATTTTGGAGGCAAAAGGAAAGCTTAAGAATCCAAGAGAAACTGAGGCTACCGCAAGTTAAATATTGCAGTACGGACAGCAAACGAGTGACAACACTAGAAACAGCGGGGTCAGTCTTAGTAAGCCCATTGCGAAGAAGGCTGAGCTCCTGTTTGAGGCGAGGATTTTGGCCAAGGGCATTGAAAGACGGATTGATCCGGCTGATGGCCAGGCCAAGACTTTTCTGGGTTCTCTAAGTTGGGATATGTAGATGTATTCATTTCGGGCTTCAGGGATGTTAGGGGGCTGATGCGGTGTACAAGGGAAGGGCTTCGACATGGGTCGGGAAGTGAAAGAAGGAGCTCGAGACAGTCATGTAAGGCAGTGTGATATAAAGAAACTGAAGTCTGAAGGCTAGCACCTCCTCAGCTTGTTTTCCATTATCGTTTTGCTTAATTGCTCTCTGATGGCTGGGGCAAGCCGGCAGGGTCTCCATGTCTCGGCCAGGCCTATACCCTGGAGGAGTTCATCAACGAGTATGGTGGCAACTTTCCTGCAGCACATAAGCTTCTGTACTAGGGCTCCTGCCCCTCAAGGGCCCTTGGTGAATGGAGAAGTAGTACAGGTACCCTTCTGAACAGGACAGTACTGAATCGCGCTGCTGTGTTCAAATACGTGCGTGTTTGTTGTTGAGATGCATGACGGTGTTTTCAGTCAGGCCTTGTGCTGTGTTTTTCTTCGTGTTGTTTGATGGAGAGCTTTGCTTCAATGCTGCCAGTTTTTCTGTCGCTGTAGGAAGTGGGGACAAGCCACCAGTGGAGTGGGACAACTCCAGACATACCTCGACCCTGGGCTTTGACTACTCAGTCTGGCATGTCTGGCTTGATCAGTTTGCCAGCGTGTCTAGCTTGGCGTGACAGTTTGTGGCGGGTAGATTACAGTTCAAGCTTTGTATGAGCCTTCATATTTCATATGATGTTTGGAAAGAAGTTGCAGCCAGTGTAGGACAAGACCGCAAGCTTTATTCGCTTCTTGCCTGTCTCCGCCAAGAGTAGAATCCAAGGTTCATCTACAAGGAGTAGGCTGGCAACTGACATCAGTGACGCCAAAAGCCAAGCCCTCCGGTCACTGCGCTGGGCCACCAGATGATTTTTTCATCAGAATCCGACCATTTCATGTTCAAATGAAACTGAATGCACGCTCCTTACAAGAAGCCATTGTTTTTAACGTTTTGGGTGAGCCCAGTACAAAAGGACCTGCCTAGATGCCTCCTGGCTGAGACACTGTTTGGGTGATGATGGGCACTTCAGCCAGCGAGTGCCAAGATGTGTGTCAGCTGGACGCAGACGTTGACAAGCGGCCCGCGGCAAAGCTGCAGCTTTGCCGCGGGAATGCCCCGCAATGCTCCGTACTCCTCCCACGCCGCCAAACGCACCGCCAATGCTGCCCACTGCCCTGGTTTGGCGTTTGAGAGTGTTTGAGATGTAGCTTGCTTCGTCCTTCGGCGCGGCACGGGCAGCATCGGCACACGAGACGTAACTTAGACTGTCTGAGCCGTAACTCGCTGCTCGCAAAAGACGCGACTCTTGGTTCTTGTCATGAATATGCTGGGCTGTGAGCAATCTGCGTTGACTCCCACATGCAGCCCTATGCAGCTCTGAGGTCTGGTGCTGTGGCTGAAGTGAGGGGCGCATTTCAGCAGATCGGGCCAGACCGGCTGGAATTCATTTTGTTCATGCAGGCTTTTGCTCTTCCATGGATTTGACTCACACTCAATGGGCAGCACGGGGCCTCCTGGGAAGGGGACCAGGCTTTTGGGGCCCAGCCCCAGTGCCCAGCGGGGCCTTCGGGCTCCCCATAACCCATAGAAGAACAGAGAGGGACCCAGAGCCAGCTACAAGACAGAATCTCCAGATGCAAGGGTTTTGTTGATTGCGCTCTCAGGGGAAGAGCAAGAACCTCAGAGCTGAAGGACCGTGCAGGTTTGTCAGATTTCGCCACGCAGCATTGCGAAGATATTTGTAAAGCGGCGTTTTGCATGGAACATCCATCCAGCTTCACCAGATGATGCGTTACGCGAAAGATGGGCTGGGTTGGCTGTTCGTGCCTGTGGAAGGTTGGAGAAAGAAGCATCGCACAGCGCGCATTCCTCTGCTCCATTGTGGCTTGTTGGTCCAAACAAGAAGACTGATCGCCGCAGGTCTCGGCTATGGCTTAAGCTACAAGGTCCTAGCTGCTGGCAGCTGGCTGTCCAGATGGAGCAGCAGGCTGCCTTGCAAGACAGTTGCAAGCACAGAACTTGGACAGATCGGACAATCACAGAAAGCTTTCTTGCGCTGCTGTTGGGCGGAGGTTGGGAATTCATGGGTCTGTGAGCAGGTGCCGCCAGTGGCTGAAGCCGGAGAAGATGCAGCAGGGGATGGTACAGCTGCTTTCCAAGTTCACTTGTTGTCGCAAAGTTTGCAGAGCATCTCGCGTGACGGATGATGACGGAATTCCATTCAAAGTTGGACGTTCCTTGACTCGGTGTCTAACAAACCAAGAGTCAGAAGCTCGCAATTAGAACCGCTTCTTGGGGCTCGCCCAGGCCTCGAACAAAAGGCCGAAGGAAGCAAAAGCCTTCCGGCGGCCTCCTCAGTTGACGCTTGCGCGGTTTTGACGGTCAGCAGCTTGGAGTGAATCCTATTAGTCTTAAATTCTGCCGGTGGAAAATAATGAAGAGACCTGGGTACTTGCAAGGGTACTCCAAACTCCTTGTTTAGGTTGTTATCTCACTGCCCGCTGATGGCCGATCCGTAGTTCCGGAGCTAGCTCCTAAAGTACATAAACAAGCGCGCGGACAGCTGAAAGACGTGACTGCAACACCTGGTTGGAGTTCAGGCAATCATGAATCCTGGAGAGTCCTTACGACAAGTCTGCTGAGGCAAGTTGAGAAGCGACAGAAGATCGAACAGGACGGAGCATTGTGGTGATAGCTGGCTGACCCTCTTGCATATGAGCCAACATGTCAGTTGCTGCTGGCGCTGCACCCGAGTTTGAGTTTTGTGTTTCAATTCCATCTCCACTCCAAAGGATGAAGTTATGCGTTCATGGGCTGAGTGAGAGGCTGCACCAGCTGACACCTCCAGCAATGGCGCCGGTTCCAAAGCTGCAGAAGGCTCCAAAAGCCTGAGGGTTTGGATCTTCTCGGTTTCTTGGGAGTCCAAGCATCTCATTAGCTGCCCCGTGAGGTGCTGCTGCCCCCACTCCGGCTGCAGAAGAAAAAGCTGGTGATGCCCAGGCTGCCCGCGGTGGACCACCAAGGGCTTCTGAGCCTTCTGATTGCCAACTAGCTTCAAAATGCAGCTAAAACTATAACACACTGGACTAGCAGAGCTGAACGGCATAACTCCATCTGGGTCCATGGCACCCAGGGTGGTGATGCGGAAGCCGACAGCGAGAGCCACAAGGAGCCCATCCGATGCCAGCAGCTCTGGACTCTCTCAATGCAGTGTGCTCCTCAGGAGGAAGTAAAGGCCGAGCCGCACAAAGGTTGAACACTCAGTGTGCTTCCAGGTTGATGCACGGACCCAGCCATTCTGACTGAAAAGCCAGTGGTGCACGCGGTTCTGCATGTCAGCGCTGCATGTCAGCTCTGCTACGCCTTCGTCCGCAGTCGCTCCAGAATCGGGGCCCATAACATGGAAGAACGCGGTGTGGCTGACCATTTACCCAGTCCATTCCAACGTAATCGCTGAACTAGCAGCAGGCGATCAGCGGTGTTCTTAAGCCAGTTTTAGATGCGGCGTGCCTGGGCAGCTTTGGTGAGCGCGTGGCTTCTCCTGCTGCCAGCTCTGCATGTCGGCTTTGCTGTGGTCGAGGCCACAGCAGGGAGCGCAAAACTGACAGCTTTGACACTTCTGGCTTCGCATGCTCCGGATACCTGTGTGTTGAGTTTATGCACTTGCAAGCTTGTATCACTTCCCTCTAAGCCATGAACAGATGGATTAATATCAAGATTTGTTGTTGCCAGCTGCCACGGCGGCTTCTGATCTCTGCCGCTGTAGCTGCTGCTCCGCGCCCTGCACCACGGAGCAACAAAAAGAGTTGACTCACTGTCTGGAATCTTTGTGGCTTTTGGGTGTCGTTTAAAAGTTGCCCCAGCGCGATACCAGGATCGTGGTCACATGTCTGGGATCCACCGGTACCACCCAGGGTCATGGTACAGGGCCGCGTACTTTGATTGTTGTAGTAGTGTTGCAGTATTTTGTCCTACGCTCAAGGCATATGAGGCACAACCGCAAACTCAGGCCACCAAGGACGAGCTGTTCGAAATCGCTGGTGCTTTTGCTAAGCTGGCAAGTGATCCAAGAATACCGAATGCAGCTTCAGTTTATGAGGAGGCAGAGGCGACTCTGGGGAATGCTGCTTGGGCAAGATTCAGGCTAGATTCGGCTAGATAGTGCACGGAGCTCTGTCCTTAAGTAAATAGGGGCACCACAACCCAGATGATCCTGATGCTTTGGACAAAGCACCATCTGGTGTCATGAAGCCATGGCATGCCTGGCAAGAGCCGAGGCAATTCAGAAATGGGAAAGTGGAGCCATCACAGCTCCTGCCATAGTGGAGGAAAAGGCGAGGCTGCGACTTGGTCGTGCCCGTGCCCGCATCGCTTTGAATGATATGGTGGGTGGCACGCTTCCAGAGACTGGGGTGAGAAAATAGGAATTTCTGTTTGCGAGGTAGATTAGATGGAATTTGAACCCCAACTGCCACGGTGCTTCAGATGTAAATCGAATGATATAAAAATGGTTCAACGTGAGTTTTGCACTCGTCTAAGTGGAAAACAGGATCATGCCTCAGTTGAATGTTAAGAAATGTTGAGGAAAAGGCAGCCGGCGCGGTGGAGGATTTTGATGTGGCCATCAGCATTATGGAAGAAGACCTGCGGCAGAACCCAGACAAGCTCATGTACAGTCACCTCGATGAAGAAGCGCCGAAACGATCAGGGACAGGGATGTGAGGAGTCTGTTTATTTGTCTCAGTCCAGGTAAGCCTTCACAAGCCGTGATTCATGGATTTTTGCAAGGGACCCTCTTGAAGATCAGAGCTCGGAGTGTTTAACTAGTCTGTGTCGAGGTTGAAGCCGCACCTTCCATACAGGCGCTTGTCAACATCATGACCCTGTCTTCGGTACTGGTTATGGTACGGCTGAAGCAGATCTTAGGAATCTTCCAGTATGGGTCGGTCGCAACCCTATCGGTGCTAAGCAAGTGCTAGACATGATCGACATATTGATGTGTTCAAGATGCTGCGAACCTTAATGTCAATGTCCGCTAATCACTCTGAAGCATCAAACTCCAACTGTGCCCAACATTTTGACAGCTGCCACTTGACAATTTGCGGTCAATATCATGGGCCAGGTGAATATCCGGATGCTCTGGTCAAGAGAGGGCTGGCCAAGGAGGAGCTCAAAAACTGGGAGGGGGCAGCCAAAGACTACACCAAGGCCATTGATGCCCCTAGAAGCCATTTCATCAAGTTTGTTTTACTTGCCAAAATTTAAGTCCGCGGGGGGTGAGGGAGGAGAGAGACAGAGAGAATTTAGCTTAAGTCTCCATCGCTCATTTGGAGGCCGTAAACGCCGGCCCTTGCTGGGTGTGGGGGGTCATTCCTACGCTTGGGGTTGGACGAGCGTGAATCGGTGGGGGCATTTAGGCCTTCCGCCGTTGCCATATTCCAATCAGCTGGGCCTCGCCCCTTTCGCAGACGGGAGTCTTCTCAAGGTCTGAAACGCAATTTTTTTGAGTCTAGTGTGCTGGATGCAGATCCTGCTCCTACCCCCATCCTCGGAAGTCTCAACTTGTGTAATTGCTGATGTGATGCCGGGGTCGCGGCCCCCATCTCATGTGGGAAAGAAAGACCTCAACCTCAAGCTAGGCAATGCAAAGCAAAAGAGACACCAGTACAACTGCAAGCAGCTTCCCAGATCATGTCTGCAACATTGTTGGGGCTCCTGGCTGCTGCAGCCCAACTGCAGAGCAATCAAGGCCTTGCGACCCAAAGATGGTCGGGCCGATAAGGCGCTGAGAGGCGACGCGACCATTCAGGAGCCAAGGCAACATAACATGTTATTGGGCACAAGCTGGGTTTCCATTGTTGTTTGCAGGCCTGAGCAAGGACATTTTGTCAGTGTGTCCATGATGTTTGGAATCTCCCAGCATCAAGCCGCGCGTAAACAATGTGTCATGTTCGCTGTTTTGTGAGTTTTGTGTTCACATTGTATGAGGCGTTACGCGTGGCAAGGTTCCGAAATGGTCGGCTTAAAAGCTTGAGATTAGATGAGGGCCCCGTCTTTCAGGTGGCACGCAAGACGGCCCGAGCTCACCAGCGCAACTCTCCGAAGCTCTCTCTGTCTCGAGCAGAACCCAACTTGGACGTTGCTTGCTTTGCTTGCCGCGTTCGCACGAAAGGTGACTGTCAGGCATGTTGTGCAGGTTGGTGTTGGAATCGGCCTATTCTTTGCACAGGAAGTAAGTACTTGCTGAAGTGCATGCCGTTTTTAGGCCTGCCTCTCGTAGAGTTGAGGAAAGTCAAACTTGAAGACGACGCTCTCCACCGGTTAAGCTCTCGGGAAAATCATGGCTTCGGAAAGCCGTTGCAGCGCAGGTCTTTCAACCATGTGAGCCGTGCAGACTTAGTCTCTGGAGGTTTTGCCTCGAAAGCTGCGTTTTGTTTGTGCCGTCAGTTTTCTGTCGTTGCCCGGGTCCAAAAGCCACGCCTAGTCTTTTTCGTCATCAGCAGTGCTACTTCTACTAGCATGTGTGCACCGCGGTAGGATCCCCCGCGTTCTGTTCTTATCTGTTCTTCATTGAGTATAGGGTATGCGCGGCTTCCTGCATCAACAGTGAATAGCGGGATAACGCAGCTGAAGGAGGGCGATGGCCTCGGCATGAATCCCTTGATTCTGAATTTTCGTGGGAATGCCCTGAGTCAGCTGGGCAGATACGATGAGGCGAGCGCGCAAGCCAGCAATGCAGGGAGTAGCCATGCAGGGTGGGTCTTTTTGCCCAGAAGACGAAGTCCACGGAGGTTCTGGTTTCGAAGCTGAAGAGCTGCAGGGATCAGTAGCACAACGTTTCTTTCAGGTCAGCTGCAGCCCTGGAACGGCGAGTCTAGTCAAATCCGACCTGAGGCAGTGGAGGATTATCGCGAGGCCACTCAAATCTTTGACAACGATGGGGAAGTGCGGCAGGCCTCCTTCTCCCGTGCCAATGAGGCCGCTTCTGCTTAAACTTAGGCGCTGCCACGCATGAGGGCAGTCAAGGTTTCCAAAGAACGGGAAGCCAAGCAAGAGCCAATCTTGCGAGGCCTTGGCCTTGTTCGGTGCCGGTCGAGATCGGGAGGGCGAGAAGATGATGCAGGTAGCCACCTGATCGAAGTCTGAGGTTTTGGAGCAAGCTTCGACTTTTTCCGGGTTCAACTCTCGTGTTGAGGCTGGGCACCTGGTACCAGAGTGCAAGACAGAGGTACAAAGTTTAGGCTTTAGGTTCCACAGATTGGCTTCTGACCCAGAAGCTTCCCAAAGCACTTGGAGACTGGACAGCTTCAGTCACGCTTTCTGTCCTTTGATCAGACTCAGATCAGCGAGCGCAAGTTGAGGTTGTGAGGAACGACCCTGGGGTTACGGATGCGCATGTCGCACTGGCAGCTACCTATTGGTCGCAAAAGAAGATTGCGGAAGCTGAATCCCAGTGGAAATTTGCTTGTGAGAACATTGACACCGGGTGCCAATCCTACAAGGCTTCTTGCCTAGGTTGCATTGGGTCTGGGACATGGGGAGAGGAAGCTCAGGCAAGCTTGGGGTGCAGATCCTTTCAGGATTGGAGATAGAAGTTAGAACATGATCTTTATTGTCATATAGCAGCCGCTACTCTCTGCAAAAATGAAACCATGCCAGATGTGGCAGATGTGCAGGATTTGAAGTGGGTTGCGGAGATCCGTCGCTGGCCCCCTTCCCTTGTGGCCTCTCTGAGAAGCTTCCTCCAGGCCAAGCCCAGCTAGTGACATTTTTAGCTGGCAACTGTTGGCAGCTCGAGCAAGGACAAGAAGAATCGCCAATGCGCAACGCTTCTTGCAAAAATGAGAGTTTGAAGGCTACAAGAGGAGGGACAATCTGCCCTGTGATTTCGTTCCGGGCTAGAACCTGTTCCGCAAAGCATCACGGATGACTTGATCCTCGCTTATGTCCAAAAAGGGGAGATATTCAGTTGTGTATTTTGCCCGTCGTCTCATGGAGAAACGGCAGGCATGCTGCCTATTGACCCCCAGTCATGTCCTGCCAAGGTTCGCACTACCACCAGCTGCGCTTAGCTGAGAAGCTCGGATCTTGGACCTTGAGCTAATTAGCGGCTAGTTTCAGTGTCGGGGCAGAACAAGTTGACAAGCTCCATCATACGACGGGACACGATGTCCAAGCAGTGTTGCGTCTAGTCATAATGCTCATCGATTGACGGCACCTTATGCTGCATGCTGCGATGCCCGTTGCAGTGGCTTGCGATTGCTTTTGCAGAGTAGCTGGCTGACACTTCTGCCTTTGCCAGACTTTCCCCGGCATGGCTGAAAGTCACTGACCAGGGCCGCGGACCTCAAGCTCGAAGATGAAGGCCAGCATACGATCTATGCAGCTTGGACCAGAATTGCTGTAAATCAGCGCCTGGCGCGATCAAACAAGAAGGAGAGGCAGGAAGGGGTGCATGCAAGCAGAGAGAGTAAACATGTTAACATTCCAAGGGCTGATGCAGGTACCCGGAAGACCGGTCCATGCGTTGAGTGGTTGCATGAGTGAGCTTGATCGTTGGATGGGGAGCAGGACAATCAGATCATATCGCAGCCATTTGGGCTGCAGTACTGAGCCACAGACAAGCATCTCACAGAGGATGGAACAGAACCCTGAGCCTGTTGCCTCAACTAATCAGCAGAGCTCTTGAAGAAACAGCAGTGCAAGGAGACGCCTGCAGAACCGAGTCTGGCTAATAATCTGGCAAGCGCCTTGTAGCAAGCTGCCTTCTCAGTTGTGTATGTGCGACACCGTTTCAATCCACTTTGCCCAGCTACAGCTGTCGTGCCGGGAGCCATGATCCGACCCGGCACATCCCTGACCAAGCAGAAGCAGAAGCAGCGGCAGGCCGCGCCACGAGTGGCCGCCGGCAAGAAGGCGGAAGCTGCAAGACCAAACCTCGAGGATTTCCTGAAGGTTGGTGACTATGTTGGAGCTGTGACGCTGTTGGAGTTTGAGCGCAAGGCGCGTGAAGATCGATCCCATTTGCTCATGTGGCTTGCCTACAGCTACTTCCACAACGGAGATTACAAGAAGGCAATTGACACTTACGAGGATGCCATGCGGAAGGAGAATGATCCCAATATCCATGTCTACAAAGCATGCTGCTACTATGCCCTGTGCCAGTATGCAGAGGCTGAAGAGGAGGCCAAACAGGCTCCCGATAGCCCGCTGAAGACACGATTGCTCTTCCAAACAGCACACAAGCGCAATGATGAGAGCGCTATGATGATCCATCATCAGGCACTGACAGACAGCAAAGAAGATCAGCTTTGCCTTGCAGCGATCCAGTACCTGAGAAGCCACTTCCAGGAAGCCACGGACATTTACAAGAGAATGCTTGTAGAGGACCGAGAGGACCTAGCCCTGAATGTCTACATTGCGTTCTGCTACTACAAGCTGGACTACTACGATGTTGCTCTTGAGATCCTGCAGACATACATCGCGCAAAATCCGAATTCCATCATTGCGGTAAATCTAAAAGCCTGCAGCCACTACCAGCTCTACAACGGCAAAGCCGCTGAGGCTGAGCTGAAGGTGTTGCAGCAGCAGTCGCAAAGTGGCAACGTCTTCCAAGAACATGACTTACTACAGCACAACCTTGTGGTCTTCCGAAATGGGGAGAACGCAATTCAAATTTTGCCTCCGCTTCTGGACATCATTCCGGAAGCACGGCTCAATTTGGTGATCTACCACCTCAGGCTTGGGGAGGCTGTGGAGGCCTACAACTTGATCAAGGACTTGGAGCCCTCAATGCCCAGAGAGTACATCCTAAAAGGGGTTGTCTTTGCTGCCCTTGGCCAAGCAACAAACTCCCGGGAGCACCTGAAGATGTCACAGCAGCTTTTCCAGCTTGTGGGTGCTTCCGCTTCGGAGTGCGACACTATCCCAGGCAGGCAATGCATGGCCTCATGCTTCTTCTTGCTCCGTCAGTTCGAGGATGTTTTGGTCTATCTGAAGTCCATCAAGGCATATTTCTCCAATGATGACGACTTCAATTGGAATTACGGCCTTGCCTGTGCTGCCTCTGGAGATTACAAAGAGGGGAAAGATGCCCTTCAGCAGATTCAGAACGAAAAGTATCGTGCAGAGTTCTGCTGGATGAGCTGGCTCTCCCGTTGTCACATCATGAGTGGTGAGCCTGCTCGCGCATGGGAAATGTACGTGCGCATGGACACCAGCAACGAATCATTCAACCTCCTCCACCTTATAGCCAATGACTGCTACAAGATGGGGCAGTTCTACTACGCCTGCAAAGCCTTTGATGTGCTGGAAAGGTTAGATCCAGATCCAGAGTTCTGGGAGGGCAAGCGGGGTGCTGCTGTGGGCATCCTCCAGTGTGTAGCTGCTGGAAAGGATTCACCTGACAAGTTGCAGGAAGTGGTTCACATGTTACGGAATTCGAACAACCCACAGGTGGAGTACATCGTGACGCACATCAAAAAGTGGGCTAAGGACAATCGGGTCAAGCTAGAGTGACCTTAGTACCTCCTGCAGCCCTTGAAGAGCCGCAGCCCATCACGCAGAGGTATGCCTGAACTGGGACTGTCAGCATCAGACATTGAGGATGCAAAATAGCTCCACGCTGCACGGATTTGCTGACCCTTCTTGTGGCTGAAATTTGCTGTGCGAGTGATGAGATGACATGTGTTCGCATACAGCTTTTTCGCTGCAGTGGTGAAGCCTGCAAAGCCTGTCCCACGTAAGCCAAGGTAGCAAATCTTGACTGGTGGCTTCCTCAGCGGAGTCGAGCGGGCAAATTCTTCACGGGTCCACGGAGGGATACTTGTGACCTTGCCCTTGTGGCCTTCCTGTAGCTTGTAGTGAAGCTCTTCTGATTCCTTTCCCTGTGAGGGCTCCTTCAGGATGATCTTATTTGACTGCCGGGCTTTGCTGCAAGCCTTGCTCGTCCATGCTAGTAACCTTGACAACCCTCGTCACCGGCATAATCAGGAATAATGGATGGCGTGGTGCATGAGCTTCTCTACGTGCATTCTGCGCAAGCGTGAAAGCCAAATGCACAATGGGTGTCGTGTTTTGAGCAAAGCTGGATTGAAGAACGAGAGAGAGAGAGAGAGAGATATATATATATATATACATATGATATCTGCGGCATTTTCCTGCATGTCCTCCTGCTTCCTAGAGGCTGCGCGCGGGGCTGCATGCAAACCTGAAGAAAAATGGTACTCCCACGAAAAGAGCCTGTGGAAGATGCGGGTCAGGTCTGTGGATGAGGCCCAGCTTCGTCGAATCTTCTGCGACGCTCGACTCCTAGACTCGTGGGGCTCAGCCTCGAATTTCCTGGTCAGAGAGTAGAGGTCAGTCAAGCATGAGTTGTTCAGAAGGAATCAGGGATCCTCGGAACCGCTATCCCCTGATTTGTGTGGCCGTGAGCTGGGGGGAGCTTCGGCACAAATACTGCAGCGATGCAGCTCTATCGGAAGACTCTTTGTGTGAGATAGATGCTGTTCCCAGCTTGCGTTTCTGCTTGCTGTTGGTCCACTGCTGGTCTTGTTCGCCATTCATGCTCAAGCACAGTTTTGGGCTCCTCCGAAAAGAGGAAAGCCTCTCGCGGTCGAGCCTGCGGGTGCCAGAGCAGTCCTGCCGCCAAACGGGACGGAACTGTTAGCTACTCGTCAAATTGCAGCCCCACAGCTTCATTCCTCAACGTAGGCCGTTTGTTGGAGCGGGCCGATTCTACGCAGACCTGGGTTCCCAAGGGGAGTACACTTGTCAGCCTGGCGCCCGGGAAGGAGCAGATTGCATGCGTTCAGCCTATCTTCAGCCATGGCAAAGATCATGCCTTTGCCCGCCAAAGGGCTGAGTCTGCGGCTGAAGATTCTTTCGGACGAGCCTCTCGACATGGAAGATTGGTCGCCATGTGGAAGGGCCAAGTCACGTGGAAATGCCTGATTCGGGCCCACTAGAGCTGCTAGTGTTCCAGCGATGAAAAACTCTTGGGCAAGTAAGCTGTGCAGTAGCGTGTTCTTCTATCAAAATCATTGTAACGTGTATGATTTCTCACTTCCTTACACGGACATGATGATATGACACCAATGCCATGGGCCATGGATGTGCTGCAGGCGTGGCAGCACTGCCTGAACGGCAAAAATGAATTATAATGAATATTTGAAGAGGCAGTGGAGTAAAGCCTCGAAGCCCTCTTGCAAAGGAATTTGCCAACAGTCTCACTTCCACCCAACTTCTTGCTGCTGCTGAGGTTTTCGTCTTGGGCTTCCTATTTGCCTCGATCTCCCGCAGAGACGGAGACGAACACAGCCCCTTGTAGAAGTTTTTTGGGTCCAGAAGCTTTTTCTCAGCCCAGGTCAAGTTTTGCTCCGCCACAGATAGGTCTGCTCCCAGTCCAAAGTACGGTCTGTACACTCAAAAAGTTACATGCGGTCGGCTTTATTGTAGGATGCCTGGATGCAAGCAATGTCCGATTCACTCCTCTGCACTACCTGCGTTGCTCCGTGTAACAAGGTTGATCGATGATGATGGTCGTAGTCGTCGTAGTGAGAGTTGTCGCAGCAGTAGTAGTAGCAGCAGCGCAGCAGCAGTGGTCGTCATCATTGGTGGTAGCGCGACGAGTCGATTAGAAGACAATTCCATGTCAGGCTTCTCTCCCAGAAAGCCCTCACCATCCTATCATGTTGTTTCCTTGGCGGCACCATAGCCTTCAACCAGGGATCTGCCACGCTATCGGACTTCGTCGGTACGCAGGTCACAGGCGTGGGTCAAGTTTTGCATATGCTTGGAATGACTATAGTATATAGAGGTTTCGGATCAGCGATTTAAGTTGTTCCCTAGCTGAATTTGCTGCTATGTTGGCGGTGAAAGGGTCATTGCGTGCTGCGCTGGTGTGCTGTGATGTATGCATAGATGGATCAGAATGTAAATGACATGATGGCTAGGGTTTGATTGTCCGCGACAAGCATGGAGGCTCATGGTTACAGAGCACTGCTTATGTTTTACATGAGCCAGGCCCTAATCAGGAAAGGTTAGGAACGCGTTAAGCTTCACAGGCAGGCTGAGAGTCCAATTTAGCATCTTTTTTTGGGGGTTTGCTGGCCTTTAGCTTGCAAACCCATGGAGGAAAGGCATCTTTCCAAGACCATTCTGGGATAATTCCGATTCTCGCAGGTGTATAGATATGAGTCGCTCAGGAAAGGGGCTGGGTATCGCTGGATTTTCGCTGACGTGACGCTATGTGGCTTCGGAGTATGTCAGCATGTCCGCTTCGTCCTGCAGACTACTGATTAGTTGAGCCCTCGTGGTCCTAAGAGAACCTCTGGCCCGCCAGAAACTTAAATTGAAGTCGCTGGAAGGCCACGTATGGCAGCTTTCTCTGCGCCAGCGAGGAAGCCGAGCTGTTCAGGACTTGGATTCACGCGGAGGTGTACAGAGACAACCCAAGTGGCCAAGGTCAATTCCAGAGAGGGGGGGCCATTACCAGTTGCATGTAAACCGTCCGTCGAACCATTTGCCATTAAGAGAGACTGGCACTCATCACGCTCATGAGTGATGTTTCAACAGCCAGGAGAATAGCAGCAAAACAATCAAACGCAAGAAACAATACCTGTTGTTTCTGCCGTCTGTTCTCGAACGATCTGCCGCTCATAGCGAGAAATTCAGATTTGGTTGGAACATCATTGCTTCCGAAACAGGTTGGGTTTCTGAGTTTCTGATTTGTAGTTTCTAAGCAGATCCCTCACCCCTTTAATTGACTTGCGAGTGGACCCAAACTGCGAAGGAAGCGATAGAGCTTTGCAGCAGTGACGCAGAACGTGAGGCCGGACTTGTCGGTAAACTTGCGACTATTGTTCTGCCATGTGTCCGCTTGAGTTCCTGCCTATCATGAATGACAAATCTTTGACAGACCAGGTTCAGTTCGCATCGGAATGTTGTAGTGTACATGAAGGGATGGAGGTTTTGCATCCCAGACCTTGTTTAGGGAGACCAATGAATGTGCTACTTTCCCTGCACCGCGATCAGGCCATTGCCAAGGAGCTTAATGGACACATCTGGGAGGCGACCCATGGCATTCAGACAAGACTGGCAGTGACTGGGATAGCCAGGACACGGGACATAACGTGACTTGGGAGACACGTCATGCGTGGAGGCCGCGCGTGTCAAAGGCTTCGCCTGACGCCTGATTGTTCAGGCATTTGCAGCAGCTTTCAGTGTTCAGTCCAGCATTCAGTGTAGACTCTGGGAGCACATGGATGTTGCACAGGTGCCTGAAGTCTTAAGCCTTAAGCCGCCTCTCAACTCCAGCCACACTTCCTACAGCCAACAAGCCAGAACCATTCGTAAGCTAGAAGCCCTCGCTCATTGCTCATGGCGACATTTCGCGAGCCTGACGACTATGACGACGAGGGTGACGATGACTACGATGATAACATGCTTGTGGCCGACGAGTCTTACAGAGGGCCGCCGGACAAAGGCTTTGACGATTCTCAAGCAGGTGGAATCGCGCAGTTCAAGGCTGGCACACGCCTGTCCTCAGGTGCATCCGGGCCGACTGACTTTGGCTTTCTCTTAGGCAGCTCTGCAAGCGACATGTCTTCCGGGCTTTTGAAGAGATGTCGATCCAGAGGAGACCAGGAGATGGCGGATGCAAAGCGTTTAGCGCTCGAGGGGCTACAGCCACCACAGCCACCACTGCGGCCACAACAGGTCCTTTGTGGCCTTGTGCCTGGAGAGGACCGCGGCCTCAACCCGATGGACCCCCCCATCGTTCGCTCAGACCCCTACTTTTGGCTTCGCGACGATTCGCATCAGAATGCTGAAGTAAAGCAGCTGCTGCAAGATGAAGACACATACTGTTGTAGGGCTTTGGCTTCGCTTAAGCCGCTGAGTGACCAGCTTTACCGCGAGATGCGCCGCCATGAAAAGGAGTCATCTGTTGGAATCCCATCGGTCTATAAAGGTGGCTATGCATACTACACTAGAGGCTATAGGAATGAGCTCTATGGGGCACACTACCGGGCGAAGTGTTCTGGGCCCGGTGAAAAAGCACCTGCAGACGTGAGTGCTCTAGCAGCTTGCATAGGGCTGCAATTAGTTGATGAAGAGCTGCTTCTGGACGAGAATGATCTCAATGATGATGGGCTAGGAGGTTCTCGCCCATACCTATCTGTGTGTGGGCCCGAACCAAGTGCTGACCATCAGTTCATAGCCTTCGCAGAAGACTTTGAAGGCAATGACAGCTACAGCATACGTTTCCGCAATACTATGGAGACAACTGAGGCTGAAGGTCTGAATGATGACGATGATGTCGAGCTGATCGAAACTGATGGTTCAATCATTTGGGAGGCAACTGGCCATGGTGCGATATATTACATTGGCCATGACCACGAGTACAGGGGCTATGTGGTTCGTCGACATGTCTTGGGAACTTCCCAATCTTCGGATACTGTAGTCTGGGAAGAGACCGATCGACGATTCTCACTTAGCATCTCAACGACCAGTGACGAGCAGTTCCTCATCATACAGTCAGCTTCGAGCGAAACAGCCGAAGTTTATCTTCTGAACCTGCTGAACGCAGGGTCAAGTTTAGTTTCAGTGTGTCCACGGCAGTTTGGCGTCCAGTATGAGGTGGACCATCGGTCAGGGTTACTGTACATTTTAACTGACAAAGATGGGGCCAGCAATTCCAAGCTGTGTTGCGCACCGCTCACTTCCATCCCGCTGTCGAACAGCACCTGGCAGGACGTCTGGGTGCCAGATCCGCACCCTGGGTGTTCCCATTAAATCTAGGAGAATGGCAGTTTGGACCCGAGTCGAATGATCTCAGTTAACGGCTATTGGTTTGATGAAAGCAGCCAAGGCATGTGCAGTTGGAATCGGTGCGTTGCTTCGAAAGCTTCGTGGCGATGGAGGGGCGCCAGAGTGGTGCTAGCTGCGTGTTTGTGATGATGGTGCCCATGGTCTCTTGGATTGCCAAGCACGCATCTGTGTCGTAGCACGACATAAGCACGTAGGGACTTGATACCCTACACATAAATTGCAGCTGATGTTATATGCAGCTTGGAGGCTTCATGAGTAGCTGGCTTGTAGCGTGTTCCTGGAGCCAGAAATTAAGGATGGCAGCCTCAAGGGTCCAATCCACTCCCTGGTATTTCCAGAGATGGCGACCAGCAGTGGGTATGTGAACACGACGCTTTGCAGCATTCTCCGGTGCTCTTTCAAGTAGCTCAACCTCTCAGGCTAGTAAACACTCAGACTAAAGTATGCATGGCCTCCCTGTAGATGTATATATGTATATATATGCGACGGGCTAGCTCTTGAAACATGTCTAGTGTCGGTCCAGCTGGAGGCTGTAAAACGAGAAGGAATGAGATTGCAGCATAAGTATGGGACTCTTGACCATAAGCCAGACAAGAGGTTTGCACGCTGCTCAGTATATATATATATAAACGTTTTGTCGTGGGAGTCTGCCAAGCCGAGAACCCAGCAAAGAAGGCATGTCCTTAGCTGCTTCAGCCAGAGACATACCTTGGACAAAATATTCATCGCTGAAGAGGAATATTTGTTGCGTGGTCAACTCTCCGAGGCCGCGGACTCAAAAAGCTGCGCAAATGCTGTACTCCGTGAGTTTGGGCGGCAACGATCTGTTCAAGACGGATGTATTGCGTGTGCACTATACTTCATATATCGTTCCGGGTCGTGACTACTCATACCACGTGCCCACACGCGAGTTCAAACTCATCAAGGAGTCACTGGACATTGTTCAGAGTGAGTTTTGTTGTTGAATGCATTGAAAGCTCGAGAAACACGGATGATCACGCAAGCTTTGTAAGTGTATTCAAGGATCTCACATGAAGGTCAGGCCCGGAGAATTACAATCCAGCCTTGTACAGGGCTGAGAGGATCACATCTCAGGGAGCCAAGATCCCCATTTCCTTGGTGTACCGCGCGGATCTGCATCCGAAGGGGCTGCAGGGTGGGCCATTTCCCACCATCCTCACGGGTTACTGGCTTCTGATGTTGTGATTCGTTTGAACTCATTTTGCTTTGTAGTAGGTCAGGTCTAAGTTAATACTTCTTTCCCTGCCAGGTTCTGCATAAGTAAGGATACGGTGCGTATGGAGCGTGCCAGGATCCGGGGTTTGATTCGAACCTCCTTTGCTTGTTGGACCGCGGCATTCTTTATGCTGTGGCGCACGTGCGGGGAGGGGGGGAGCTTGGCCGAAGATGGCGCGAAGAAGGCCGCTATTTCAAGGTCAAAAACCGCTTCCACGATTTCATCGACGCTGCCGAAACCCTCATCAGTCTGGGCATTTCAGAGAAGTCCACCCTTGGAGCTTGGGGAGAGAGCAGCGGCGGACTGCTGGTCTCAGCATCCATGAACCTCCGCCCGGACCTTTTCAAAGCCGTGCTGCTCTATGTGCCATTTGTTGATGCCATCAGCACGATGAGCGACCCCTCAATTCCACTGACGTGCGGCGAGTGGGAGGAGTTAGGCAACCCCAACCAGCGGGATGTCTTCTACTACATGTTGGAGTACAGCCCATACGACAACCTTCGAATGCAGGACTACCCAGCAGCTCTGGTAACAGCCTCCCAAAATGACACGATGGTAGGCTATTGGGAACCCCTGAAATTCGTAAGCAAGCTGCGACGCCTGAAGACGGATTCGAACCCGGTGCTTCTGAAGGTGGACTTCCATGCCGGGCACGGCGGTGCCTCCGACAAAGGGAAATCCATGCAGGAGCAGGCTCAGCATTTTGCTTTTCTCATTGACCAGCTGGGGGTCGAGACTTGAATTACCTCGCGGGCCAGCGGAGCCTTGGGGTTTGCAGCTTGCATGCAGACGTTCGAGCAGAAACCTGCTCATTGGACGAGTTTCACGTGCTTTCCTGCACGTTTGCGCCGCATGACATGCAGCGGCACGAGGAGAGGCTACCTGTTCCAGGTGGCCACAACCTTTCCACTGTACTGCACAGCTTTCTGCGTGCGAACGACACGTCGTCCTTGTGCAGCGAAATAAGCGCGATGCCTTGCATGGCCTTCTATCTTCAATGTCTTGTGCTGTAATCTGATTTATTCACAGATGGCCGATATTATGTAGGCATCAGGACGTGTCTAGCAGCCACAAGAGCCCGAACAATGCGGCACATCCGTTCTCCCACGCAAATGCTATGAAGCTTTGAAGGCAGTGCGCTGTCCCCATGCCAACTTTGTGGTGCAACGGTTGATCGTTGCTTTGCGGCCGTGTGCTTGCCAGCCACTGGGCAACAGGTAGACCAGGTAGACAAGATTTGCAGCTTGTGTTTGGGAGTTGAAGCTTGACGTTGAATCACTGTTGAATCGAGGTTTATCATCGAGGAGATACTGCGGCCGGGCCCCAAGAGCATCTGCTACCTGGCAAGGCGCGATGCTGATGCAGCCGTGTTTCTTCTCACATACTCGTTGCACTTGCGGCCTTCAGTAATTAGCAGGAGTGAAACCAAGACTTGCCGAATGTGAAAAAGTTTAGGCTTGGGCCAGATAATGTCCTCAGCTTCCATAGTGCAGTTGTGAGAGGGGATCTGCATGGGTCTGGAGGGTTCAGCGTGGGCCAATACAGTGAGTGAGTAGTAAAACAGTCGTTGCAACTACCACCCCTGTACTATTTGCAATGCTAATTTGGCACCATTATCGCCTGGAGGCACAAATACGGCTGCCGAACGCTTCAACGGCTCCTGGAGCATTGCAGCCACGAGCAGACAGCACCCCTGGCCGAGGTGGGCCAGGGCTTGCTAGCACAGGTTATGACGTCACCCTCAACACTAGTGATCTTCGTCGAGTGTGGCGTGGCATTTCAAGAGGAACCAACACTAGCAGATGAGCAGCAACAAACATCAAGGACATTTCTGATAGTGTTTGGCTATGATTTTATTAGCCGGTGCTTGAACAACCTCCACGGGCGCATGGCGCAGTCTCGGGGAAGACTGGAGGACTTTCACTTCTTTCTCCAGTGCAGAGCTGTGTTTTCTGACTCGCCCAGCTTCGATTGTGCGAAGAAGTCTGGGGCATTCACTTCCATACTCTAAGGCCTTTCCTGTTAAGCCAGTTCAACCAAGCGTCTTGAAGTGTTGCTCTTGAACTCCCCTGTGTGCCAGCGCAGATGCCTCAGAAAAATCGTTCTGGTAGGCATCTTGAGCCAACTGACCCTGCATGAGAGGAGAAGAATCGGCATGGCTGCAGCCTATTGTAGATAAACATATGCATAGTAGATGCGCAGTCTTCTGCAGGCTCTTACTAGATGCATTCACCTCGGACGAATCGTATCGCTTGTCCTTGTGGCCTGGTGAACTGAGGCGCTGTTATCCGAGGTGGTTCCACTGCCTCCCGGCTTTTGTGGCTTCAATTTGAGATCCTTCTCATGCGGTTCTCAAACGTCATGAACGATTACGTGGGGGTTCCCTAGTGTCCCTAGAGTTATTCTCGAAGGGGTTTATCGGGTACACGCATGTCTGGACCTCTCGAGATAACGTGCACAGTCTGCGCACTGCACCAACTTCTAAGGTCTCGGCACCCTTATGGAAACTACGTACTGCAGCAGCTGCTCGAGCGTCAGAGCTGCAACTGACGGGAAGGGTCTGGTCTTCAATGAGGGTCTACGTGAGCTTGTGTGTTTCTTTGAATGGTTTGAAAACAAGGAAAAGCTAGGAGGAACAAGGCACATGCTTTCAAAGCCAGATGCCGCCGAACGCTCGGCATCAGCTGTTGCGGGGTGCAAAGTGAAGGTGAGACAAGCAACATTCATTTTTGTTAAGTAGTTCTGCAGGTTAAAGCGTGCTCTGTAAGTCACCTCTTGTGACACGGACTTGCTTTCCATTGAAATCTTAAGGGCGTTATGAGCTTCAAAGACTCAAGGTTGCCGCTTGGCGAAGGGTGGGGAATGAAGGTTGAGCCCACACTTCCCCCTCCTCCTACATACTGCTGCGTACTGCTGCTGCTGCTGCTGCTGCCGCTGCTCCTCCCGCCGCCGCTCCTCCCGCCGCCGCTCCTCCCGCCGCCGCTCCTCCCGCCACCGCTCCTCCCGCCGCCGCTCCTCC